CAACTCCTAGACTCCTTTTCAAAGTGGTTACATCATATTACGCTTCTATGATAAACAAGTAGTTTATCTACAAGATCTCTGATGATAGATAAAACTATCTATATGACCAAGTCTTCAGACTGATTCTTATTCTTTTTGCCCATAAGATAAAGCTAGAGTAGATTAGAATTAATATAAATACTATACAGGAAGTTCTTTGCTTTAACATTTTGCCTTGCATCAATAGTTAATAACTATGAGGCTTTGTTATTTTTCTTCAGCGAATCTATGGCACACTCTGTTAGTCAGTTTTATAGAAGTTTTAGTGACCATTATTCTACACTCATCTTAGATGCGTAAGACATTAAAACTATCATCTCTGTGACCACCATTATCATATCATAGCTTGCCACCAATGACGGTTTTAACAATTGTACAACTGCCTCAAAGCAGGGGCTGTTCAGCCTCCAACTACAAAGAGGGATGGATTCTTCATTGCCAACTAGCCAATATGTGACCCATCCCTAAAATCCTACCCAAGAATCTACCATTACAATCTACCCTGCTTTCAGATATCTTAAAAGTGGCTCCATATGTATACACTCAGAGTAAAGTATTACAGACTGAATGAGAGAGTTGTGTAGGGGAGTTCTACAGTTACTCCTATGAGATGATGTGTTCAACACAGAAAATAAAGGAAGGCAGTATTAATGAGACAAAGAAGACAACCTATAATATTTAATCAATATACAAAAAGAAACAAAAGGGAATAGTTAGGAAAGAAGTTCATGTTCTTGACCCAGATCATTTTTAGGTCTTTAACATCCAGCCTAAATCAGCAGGTCACATTGGATGCCATTTGGGTTACAACTTCTACATTTACAAGGAATTGTTCAGTCCACAGTGAATTGGCTCAGTCAAGTTTACACTCCCTCCTACTGAGCAGCTCAAAGTTCATGAAGAAGTGTACCATGTGTCCTCCATGCCTCCATGCCGGTCAACCCTGTCACTGCATCACCAAAGCTAATACAGGATTTAGTAAAGCCTCAGTTGCAACTGCATTGCAAGTTGATTCTTTTGTCTGGTTAATCCTGCTCCTGCTGCTACTGCTGCTGTTTCCTCTTCTTTATAATCTCCAAAAAGCACTTCACAATGGAATTCCGTCTAAAATTCTCCATCTCAAAATTTATACCAAGAGAGCTCAATCTGAAATAAGTGTTATATTCATAATGAATTCAGACTGAATTATTCTGAACAACTTAGCATGTAAGACAAAATAGCAATAGGCTTGAGCTTGTAGTTCTGAAAAAAAAAAAAATTCCCTAGCTTTGAATTTGCTAGTGTACTAGATTCCTTAACCTACTACGCAGGTTTGTGTTGCATGTATCTTACTTTTCCCTATGTAATATCTCATTCTCTTCTCTTGTTTCAGGAGTCACTCCACACTTCCTTTTATTAAATCAACATGTACAGTTCTCATTTTAAGAGTAGGCCACAACAAGAAAATCAATCTAAATTTTCATCATTTTCATTGTAGCATTGTGTATTTTGAAGCTATTTCATTTCAATTTTTATATATTGAATGTTGATTAGGAGATCTGTGACTGTAATTGGGATCTATGCCTTACAGGGTTGGAAAGAAGTAAATATTCCTGAGAACTAGTTATTGAGTAATGTGTATCATGGTGGGCTCTTAGAGACTCTCATGAAGATGATGAGGGCAAGGGCAGGGATACTGTCGGAAAGCACTGAATGTTTCCTTCTTCTGCCTCTCCTGATAATTATCCCACTTATTAATTATTTTAAATCCTTCAGTAGTGAGAGAGGTTAATTAGGAAGGGATTAGAAATATATTGTAATGCTGTTAGGGGAACAATATCTACAAACTACTGGGAATATCCAAACCTCTGAGGTTGGCTGGAGGTTTCTACTAGGCTCACACATAGCTAGCAAGCTTCTTGGAGTCAATAAAGCCTTTAATTTTCTACATTAAATTGATTTTGGTGCTTTATAAGTCATCTCAAGGCCTATAGGAAATTACAGGTAGGCCAACGTTATTAAAGTATGTGAAGAGAGAATGGACAGGGGCAAATAGAGTTCTTACAGTCCTAAAACACACATCTTTGGGTACACGCAACAAAAAATTCCCAAATCAACTAAAATAAATAGAAAGTACAAAAATCCTATGAGTTTAATAAGTTATTTCAGAGTTTTGCAAAGCTGTGAGTGTGAGTTGGTAGGTCATCAGATTAAAAATATTGCATTGTGCATATGTGTGTTTTATAAAGGAAAAATCGCACAGTTACCTGAAAGAGTAAAATGAATTAAATCAATATCATTTTGTACTTGCTTCAAAAAATTCTTGTTAATCTAAAAAAAGTTAATTCTTGAGAAGGTTAAGTTGAGGTCTTGTACTATTTTAGAAGATGACATAGTGAAGTGGAAAAGGTTGATTGGGAATCAGGAGCCCTGTATTTTAGCTTGTACTCTGTCACTAACTAGCTGTGTGACCTCGGGCAAATCACTTAACCTGCAAGATCCCTGTTTCGTCATGTGTAAAATGAGGAGGATGGACTACATGATCTCTGACTGTGCTCAACTAAATCTGCAGCTAAACCTAAATGCAGAGAATTCGACTGAAATAGCAGAACACAGAAACTAGTGCTGAAAAACAGGAATGCATACTTAGAGCAGATACTGTGCACTTACAGGTTTCTTTTAATCCTAACTGTTCACTGCATGCCATTCCTTCTAATTTTTCCATAGGGGAAGATTCTGTATAACAAAAAATAAAGCCCTATTTTTTTGTTTGCTTTGGTGTTTTTTTTTGACAGGCAGAGTGGACAGTGAGAGAGAGAGAGAGACAGAGAGAAAGGTCTTCCTTTGCCGTTGGTTCACCCTCCAATGGCCGCCGCGGCCAGCACGCTGCGGCCGGGCCACCACGCTGATCCAAAGGCAGGAGCCAGGTGCTTCTCCTGGTCTCCTATGGGGTGCAGGGCCCAAGCACTTGGGCCATGATGATCCACTGCACTCCCGGGCCACAGCAGAGAGCTGGCCTGGAAGAGGGGCAACTGGGACAGAATCCGGCGCCCCGACCGGGACTAGAACCCAGTGTGCTGGCACCGCAAGGCGGAGGATTAGCCTAGTGAGCCGCGGCACTGGCTAGCCCTATTGTTTTTGCATAGTTTTTAGTAGAACTGAGAACACAATAGCATTTTTAGAAATATTTCTCTTACATGCACATGACTAATTCATTTAAAATATACCTATTCCACCTTGTTTGTTTGTTTGTTTATGACACCTCCTTGATAACCTGTATATTCTAGTGGGGAAAAACAAAAAATATGCATGTGTTGCTATCCATATCTGGCAGCAGTTAACCAAATAATAGTGTCTCTATTAGAATCAAGAGGTATTGTAATGAAAACTCCCTCTACTCCAACTGTTAGTAATAAGCAGGAAACTGGGAAAAGGAAAAGGAATACGCTCATGGTAGTTATGTTATGCCTCTAAATGCCACTAAAAGAGGTTAAAAGCTTCCCAAATGTCTGATTAAAAGTCCCTAACAGGACTTCCTTCTACAACGATCAAGGAATATTAGGAGAAAAATTCAGAGGTTTCAGGACTAACACACTTGCTGCTTCCTATAATAGCTTAATTTGGACAAGCTGAACCTCTTGGTTGTATAATTGCCAACAGATTAGTTTCTTGTATAAATTTTCATTCCCTTAGATTACTTAATAGAGCTTCATACATCTCATCTTAATCAGCACCATAATGGCTTCCATTATAACTATATATATATATATATATATATATATATATATGTTTGTCTATCTGTCTATATGGAACGACATCTATTACATACTCAGAAACTACTTGTATCAGGAAATTGAATTTCTTGAACTAATCTTTCTTTACTGTAAGTATAATGGCCAGTGGATTTTCCTCACTTCTACTGGAGTTGATTTTTTTTTTTTTTTTTTTTGCTTACCCAGTAAATGGCAAAGCAATGCAATGAAGAAATGCTACCCTTGAACTAACTTTTAACTAACTCGGTTAAAAGAATAAAGACACAGAGAGATGAAAAGGAAAAAATGACATACATTACTAAAGTCTTAGTGCAAGGATCTTGTAGAAGACCTGAAAAAAATTTAAATCTCTGATGACACAAAAATTTCCTTATTTATTCATTTGAAAGGTAGAGGGACAGCGGGAGATGGGGAGAAAAAGACAGAGGCAGATAAAGATAGATAACTGATCAATCAATAGACAGACAGATACATAGATTGGTTGATTTTTCAACTGCTGGTTCTGTCCCCAAATGGCTGCAATAGCCAGGGCTGTTGCTGTGCCAAAATCAAGAGCCAGGAGTTCCACCTATATTTCTCAAATGTGTGGCCAGGTCCCAAATAATGTAACCATCATCCACTGCCTTCCCAAGAACATTAGCAGAAAGCAGGCTTGGAAGGGGATAAGCTGGAGCTCAAAATAGTACTCTACTATTACTATATATAAGATGCCAGTTCCACCAGCAGTAACTTAACCCTGTGTGCCTCAACACCGGCCATAGGAGGCACAATTTTATTAATGTGTATAATAATACATATTATTATAATAATACAGTAATATGTATAATATTATTAAATATACATATAAATATATTATATTATATTACATCTATTATACATAAATATATATGAATATATAATGTAATATAATATATAACATATACATATAAATATATGTATAATATACATTTAAATTAATCTCAAAGTTTTTACAAATTATAAAAAATAAGTGAAAACAGTAGGCAATTTAAAGGAAACATGCCTGAGCAATACATAAAAGAAGAAATTTAAATGGCTAAAAAAACTATATGAAGGCATTTTGAAGTTCACTAATACAAGAAACAACAATAAACATGTTTATGAGCCACTATTTTTAATGATCAAATCAGAAAGAATTTTTAAGTGATAATACTCAACATTGCAATAATAGAAGAAAAAGGAATATCTTACACACTGCTGACTGGAGAACAAAGTAGCATAAGGTTTGTGTAACACATCTGACAACCAACACCAAAAGCTTTAAATAGCTCAAAAAATCAATTCTCCCTGTGGAAATGAAGAATTGAGCAGAGATTCAGTTCCATGTATAGTAATTGTAAAGAAAAATTAATGTGGGAAGTAAGTTTTATGCACCAAAATGTTTGTAACTGCTTTAAATATTACAGATAGAGATAGGCAAATTTGTATATACTTATACATAGACAGTTCACAAAACTGTCTATGTATAAGTAGCATACATGCATTAGCAAACATGAAAAAATATATATATATATTATATATAATATATTCTGTGAAACAAGTTTAAAGTGAAGTATTGCTGTTAGGTTCATTGTTACATATGCTCCAGTATCTAGCAGAGTACTTTTTCCAAAGTATAGAATATTGTCGCTCCCCCTCTTCGTGGGGGAACGACACTAAGCCCTGCCTAGGCTTCATATCCGAGTCACGGCACCATTATGTCCCTCCCCCTCTTCGTGGAGGAGCAACACAAGACCCTGCGCTGTTCTTTCGTCTGCTCGGCCCTCCCCGGGTTTGCTGCTGGTTCTTCCCGGGTTGGCTACTATCCCTTCCACCTCCGTGGAAGGGCAGTTCCCCCTGGCCGCATTCCCCACTTCCGCAGGGGAGCGGCACACCGCCGGCCGGCTCTTCTCGGGGGCTGCACAGGTGTTCCTTCAGCTAGATGTTCCCCATAGATGTTCCTGGTGCATGCCGTCTCTCTCCTCCTTTATAGTCCTCCTCCGCCAATCCCAACTCGGCTGCCCACACGCCGAGTACGCTGCTCTCCTCCAATCAGGAGCAAGTCCTACAGTTAATTGGTTGAACTGGAGGCAGCTGTGCGGAAGCTGTTTACTTCTCTCCCAGCGCCATATTGTGGGAGAGCAGATGCATAGAATAAGTCTTAATTCCAGTAACAGTCTAGTCCGGTTTGCTCCCCACAGATCCCCCTTTCTTTTTATTTTTGGCGTTGATACGCGCCTGTCTTCGGTGTCCCGCAGCACACACTCTGCTCTACTTGCTAGAGTTGCCACAGGCTCTTACAAGTCCTATCAATCAGGAAAACCGAATCCGGGTCCTCTCTTCGCCATTGTGAGGAGGTTTTTAGGCGCTGATGCGTGCCTGTGTTCGGTGCCCTGCAGCGCATGCTCTGCTCTGCTAGAACTGCCTGCAGGTGTTTACAAAACCTATCAGGCAAACCGAATCCAAGCCTTCTCATTGCCGTATTGTGGGGGAGACTTACTAGTGTTGGTTTGTGCCTATCTTCGGTGACCTGCAGCTCATACTCTGGTCGAGCTTTGCTGGCGCTTACCGCCTTAAATCAGGCAGACCGAATCCAAGCCTCCTAATTGTTGCATTGTGGGGAAGCTTTACTGATGTTAATTCGTGCCTGTCTTCGGTGACCTGCGGCTAGCCGCCCAGGTACTCATCGCCTCACTAATCGGGCAGACCGAATCCAAGCCTTCTAATTGCCATGTTGAGGGGAGGCCTTATTTTTCTCTATTTCTCTATCTCCGGGCATTCCTACCTCTCCCATTTCACTTCTATCTTCCAGCATTCCCATTTCTCTTTTACTTCACTTCCAAACTTCTGTTTCTCTTATCCCCGCAGCTTCCCGGCACCTCGCCCCGCCGGCGGGTTCCCGGCTCTGCGCCGCTTCAGCCCGCGCGCCTCTCTTATCTGCGCAGCTTCCCGGCTTTGCGCGGCTCGGCTTTGCGCGCTCCGCGGTCTCCACGCTTAACCCTTTCGCGTCTGAACCACGGCCTACGCCAGCGTTCCCTATCTACTCACGCCCCGTGCTCCCTCTGCACGCGGCGGCTTCCGCGAGTAACACAGCGTAGCTTGCGTCTCCACCACTAGCATTCAATCCAAGTTCCCCGGGCTAGCCTGGCGAATTCAACCCAGCGTACGTCTCCGCCCCACGGTTTGGCTTCCTGTCCTTTGCTCCCCGGGCTAATCAGACGGATCCCAACCTGGCTTGCGTCTCAGCTTCTGGTTTTAACTTTTCGCCCCCTATTCCCGGGCTAACTTGAGAATCCCAAAGTGGCTTTCGTTTCCGCCTAGGCCTGCCCCCCGCGGCTTCAATTTCCCTAGCATTTTTCTCTACCCGGTATGTTTCCCCAAGCTTTCTTCCAACAATACTCCTCCCTCATTTCTCCTGGCCTCTCCCCACAGTCTGCATCCGAGTCTGTTTGTTCTAGCTTTCACTTTCGCTTTCGACCTTAGAGATTTCTCCCAGCTTCCCCCCGTAGTCCGTATCCGAGTCTATACCTAGGCTTTCAATAGCTTCTTCCGGCACCCTTTTCGTCCGGCTTTTCCCTAGGCTGTATGCTAGTCTCTCTCTCCGGTAATTTCCCTAGGCTGTTTGCTAGTCTCTCTCTCCGATATTTTCCCAATTCTTCCCGTTTCTTCCCCCCTAAGTTTGCTATCCGTCCTAGGTTTCTTATCCGAGTCAGGTTTCCTATCCGAGCTAGGTTTCCTATCCGAGTCACGGCACCATTATGTCGCTCCCCCTCTTCGTGGGGGAACGACACTAAGCCCTGCCTAGGCTTCATATCCGAGTCACGGCACCATTATGTCCCTCCCCCTCTTCGTGGAGGAGCAACACAAGACCCTGCGCTGTTCTTTCGTCTGCTCGGCCCTCCCCGGGTTTGCTGCTGGTTCTTCCCGGGTTGGCTACTATCCCTTCCACCTCCGTGGAAGGGCAGTTCCCCCTGGCCGCATTCCCCACTTCCGCAGGGGAGCGGCACACCGCCGGCCGGCTCTTCTCGGGGGCTGCACAGGTGTTCCTTCAGCTAGATGTTCCCCATAGATGTTCCTGGTGCATGCCGTCTCTCTCCTCCTTTATAGTCCTCCTCCGCCAATCCCAACTCGGCTGCCCACACGCCGAGTACGCTGCTCTCCTCCAATCAGGAGCAAGTCCTACAGTTTATTGGTTGAACTGGAGGCAGCTGTGCGGAAGCTGTTTACTTCTCTCCCAGCGCCATATTGTGGGAGAGCAGATGCATAGAATAAGTCTTAATTCCAGTAACAGTCTAGTCCGGTTTGCTCCCCACAGAATATGTGTTTCCTGAACGAATGTGTGAATGCAACTTTTCAACTTTCAAATGGATGCTCCATCATTTATATGACATACAGCACACACAGCAGACGACTTTATAATATGTAAATATCTCTTGCTGGCCACATTTTTCCTTAGCCTTTTTGAGATTATGTCTGGTATCTGTCATTACAGGGATGATTTAAACTCTGTTAGAGATTCAACAAAACATTTAGTAAGTATCTTCTAAATTTACTTTTTAACAACATGGGCAACGTCATTTTTCTATTTATGCTGTCAATGATCCTGAGTTTCCACCTGCTCCCAAGTAATAAGAAATTGATATTTCCTGACCTACCGCTCAGCTCTTAATCCCTGATTCTTTAAAGGCAGCATTGAACAATCTGTAGAGTGAGTCCTGGTCTTCATCCTGTGCCCTCAACTCAGAGATGCTACAGAAAGCAGAGACTCTCCTGCCACTGCCAAATGGGAATGTTTGGGAAGCTGGGCACTTGATGATATCATTGTTCCTACACTGAGAAACTGTGAAGTGAGGAGTTTTGCACATTTCAGTAGCTAGAATAAGAGGTACCAGGAGGGAGACTGATAAAGCACAGTTGCTTCTATGTCATATTTTCTTGACACGGAGCAAGGGGTTTTCAGAGATGGCGTTAGATGGAGTGCCAGGTGAACAAAAGTCGTAAACTCAGTCCCCATGTTATGTTTATTGAAGCAATTCTCTGAAACACGTCAGGCTTGCAGAGAAATTGTTCTTGCTCTCAACACTGCTCCTAGCCAGGGTGCAAGGCATGAGCCGCGATAGACATACCATTTTGTTAGACTACTGAGCCAACGATGTTGCTGCTCTAAGTGATGAAGCTGGAGGATCATCATCAAACTTAGCAGACAATGCAAATATCATCATGGGTGTGACACCAACACTGTCATTTTCCCCAGTGGGCTCTACTAACTGTTGTCAGGAAACACTGATTTGAGATGAGTGATAAGGTGCTGTTCCATTCTTTCATCACTGCAAATCTCGAGGGAAGTAACTTCTGGAACTGCTCCCAGAAGCTGCTCCCTTGGGCACTGGTCTGTATGCAGGGCAACTGGGGCCATTGTGCGTGGTACTGCGCTCAGTGCTTCCTGGGACTTTATTTCGCAGCCCAACCTTCAGCCCATTTCTTCCATCCTCATGGTGAATTATTGCTTAGGAGCCCAAATGTCCTTTCAGTCATCTGCTCTTGGCCAGGTTCCTTCAGTCCCCTTCTGAGATTGTGATTGTTTCCAAATCTATCCCCACTCCTATCTTTGCTGCTGAATCAATCACACAGCTGGCTTGCAGCCTGCCACAGGATTTATATAGATAAACAGGTAGATAGATATAGATAGTCCTAAGTGTTTTCTATATTCTGTAAATTCAAATTTAACTCTAGTTTGTGCTCTTAAGTAAAAAAAAGGAAAAGAAAAACAGTGAAGTTTCCCTCATTTTTCTTGTAAGTTAACTGATAAGAGAATTGGCCAGAAATTGGTAAAATAGAAATTTTATTTCTGTCCCACCACAATCTTCTATAATTAACGCTTGCCAGCTTAGAAATTCCAACCCAATTCTGAGAGGAAATAACTCCGTCTTCTGTTTCCCAGTGTTGCTAATGGAATTTTCTACTTGTGTACAAGTTCACATAAAAGACAGGCTTTTCAGCATAGAAGAACACCACAGTGTTCAGCTGGAGATTCAGCTTAGTTAAACATGAGAAAAGGAGCTATATATCCAGAAAAGGATGACCAGAGAGCACAGTAACTGATGAAGTTGGGAATAGAATTCCGGGCTCTGTATTCCATGGAGAAATAGTACCTCTCTTTTATTAACCCCCTAAAAAATTTAAGAATATTTTAATCATTGTACTTAAATATGTTACATTTTCACGTGGACTACTTCTATTGTAGCCAAGAATCATAGTGAGTTTTGGGTAGTTCTGTGAGTTCATTTCAGGTGAAACTCAGAAAATTTGCTGTACTAATTGACGAGTACATTTTATCTGTAAAAAGAAAAACTTACTTCTAAATTTTAATGGATTCATTAGGATTTCAATATTTTTCAGAATCAGTGAAGGGACCCTACAGGCACATGTAATGATAAGGGATAAACAACAAATATTACAATGGCAAAATAGGAGGAGGCCTACATATTATGATTTAAAGATGATACAATGACTCTTTCCTGAACACAAATTTCTCCTACGGTAACCACCTACTGAGTCATTAGTCTAGGCCTACGATGGTGCCTTCAGGAACTGTCTGGCAAATCTACTCTTATTACCAGCAGCGAGCAATACGTTCTGTTATTCAACTCTTATCACCACTCATCATTCATCATATCAGTGGACAATGTGTCTCCAAGAGAAGGTGGCACGAAAGGTCCTAAAAGAGTTTCTCTAATAATTACAGGAAAATACTAGTTCCAAAACTACCTCAGCGTGGTATATCTGCAAGCAAAGACCATCACATAGAATGTTGCCTTTGGGGGAATCTAAACAAAAAAGCAAAGCTGGCAGAAGGGGGTTTACGGAAAGACCCTAAAATCAAGCTCCTATGGTAAATTGATTAGGGACAACAGGGCAGTAAGTTGAAAATATAGTCATAGCCCCTTATCCAGAAGGGTTATGATCCAAGACTCCCACTGGATGCCTGAAATAGATATTGTGCTGAACCCTGAACCCTATATACTATGTACATACATACATACACACACACACAGACGGTAAAAGTTTAATCAATGAGTTAGGCACAGTAGATTATCAACAATAATTAGTAAAATAGGCATATCATAACAATACATTGTAACATGTATTATTAGAATATGGTATTTCTATCTTTCAAAATATCTTAATGTATGGTTTTACTCTTTTTGCTTAATATTTTCAGGCTGCCATTGACTGAAACCATGGAAACAAAACTACAAAAAAATGGACACCAGGGCAGTCAGTGGTAAGGTATCAGCTACAAACTAGGCAACGCATTCTTCATTTTACTTACAAGCAAAAGAGGTTTATTCTGGGGGCCAGCACTGTGGCATAGTGGGGAAAGCTGCTGTCTGCAGTGCCGGCATCCCATATGGACTCTGGTTCAAGCTTTGGCTGCTCCACTTACTATCCAGCTCTCTGCTAAGGCCTGGGAAAGCAGTAGAAGATGGCCCAAGTCCTTGCACCCATGCATTTGCATGGAGACCCAGAAAAAGCTCCTGGCTCCTGGCTTGGATCTGCTCAGCTCTGACTATTGCAGTCATTTGGGGAGTGGACCAGTGGATGGAAGACCTCTCTCTCTCTCTGCATCTGCCTTTTTTTTTTTTTTTTGAGTTTTACTTTTTTTTATTTTTTTTTTTTTATCTTTTATTTAATGAATATAAATTTCCAAAGTACGACTCATGTGTTACAATGGCTTCCCTCCCATACCGTCCCTCCCACCCACAACCCTCCCCTTTCCCACTCCCTCTCCCCTTCCATTCACATCAAGATTCATTTTCTATTATCTTAATATACAGAAGATCAGCTTAGTATACATTAAGTATGGATTTCAACAGTTTGCTCCCACACAGAAACATAAAGTGAAAAATAATAGATGATTTTTTTAAATGATGATGAAATCAGATCAGACCTATTGTCATGTTTAATCCCAGTGAGAGTCAAGTTGGGAATTGATAATTTCTTTTTTTTTTTTTTTTTTTACAGATCAGTTTAGTGTACATTAAGTAAAGATTTCAATCGTTTGCACCCCCATAGAAACACAAAGTGAAATATACTGTTTGAGTACTCGTTATAGCATTAAGCCTCAGTGTACAGCACGTTAAGGACAGAGATCCTACATGAGGAGTAAGTGCACAGTGACTCCTGTTGTTGACTTTACAAATTGACACTCCTGTTTATGGCATCAGTAATCTCCCTATGCACCAGTTATGAGTTTCCAAGGCTATGGAAGCCCCTTGAGTTCTCCGACTCTTATCTTGTTTAGACACAGTCATAGTCAAAGTGGAGGTTCTCTCCTCCCTTCAGAGAAAGGCACCTCCCTCTTTGAAGACCTGTTCTTTCCACTGGGATCTCACTCACAGAGATCTTTTTGCCAGAGTGTCTTGGCTTTCCATGCCTGAAATACTCTCATGGGCTTTTCAGCCAGATCCGAGTGCCTTTAGGGCTGATTCTGAGGCCAGAGTGCTATTTAGGACATCCGCCATTCTATGAGTCTGCTGAGTATCTCACTTCCCATGTTGGATCATTCTCCCCTTTATTTATTCTATCGGTTGGTGTTAGCAGATACTAGACTTGTTTATGTGCTCCCTTTCACTCTTAGTCCTTTCATTATGATCAATTGTGAACTGAAATTGATCACTTGGAATAGTGAGATGGCATTGGCACATGCCACCTTGATGGGATTGAATTGGAATCCCCTGGTATGTTTCCAACTCTACCAATTGGGGCAAGTCAGCCCGAGCATGCCCCAAATTATACATCTCTTCCCTCTCTTATTCCCACTCTTATGTTTAACAGGGATCACATTTCAGTTAATTTTCAACACTCAAGAATAACTGTGTGATAATTACAGAATTAAACCAGTCATATTAAGTAGAACAGACAAAAAAAAATACTATGAGGGATAATGTATTAAGTTGTCCATTAGCAGTCAGGGCTATGCTGATCAAGTCACCATTTCTCATAGTGTCCATTTCACTTCAGGAGGTTTCCTTTTTGGTGTTCAGTCAGTTGTCACCGATCAGGGAGAACATATGGTATTTGTCCCTTTGGGACTGGCTTACTTCACTCAGCATGATGTGTTCCAGATTCCTCCATTTTGTTGCAAATGACTGGATTTCGTTGTTTCTTACTGCGGTATAGTACTCTAAAGAATACATATCCCATAATTTCTTTATCCAGTCTACCATTGATGGGCATTTAGGTTGGTTCCAGGTCTTGGCTATTGTGAATTGTGCTGCAATAAACATTAGGGTGCAGACCGCTTTTTTGTTTATCAATTTAAACTCCTTTGGGTAAATTCCAAGGAGTGGGATGGCTGGGTCGAACGGTAGGGTTATATTCAGGTTTCTGAGGAATCTCCAGACTGATTTCCATAGTGGCTTGACCAGTTTGCATTCCCACCAACAGTGGGTTAGTGTCCCTTTTTCCCCACATCCTCGCCAGCATCTGTTGTTGGTAGATTTCTGTATGTGAGCCATTCTAACCGGGGTGAGGTGAAACCTCATTGTGCTTTTGATTTGCATTTCCCTGATTGCTAGTGACCTTGAACATTTTTTCATGTGCCTGTTGGCCATTTGGATTTCCTCTTTTGAAAAATGTGTATTGAAGTCCTTGGCCCATCTCTTAAGTGGGCTGTTGGTTTTGTTTTTGTGGAGTTTCTTGATCTCTTTGTAGATTCTGGTTATTAACCCTTTATCTGTTGCATAGTTTGCAAATATTTTTTCCCATTCTGTTGGTTGTCTCTTCACTCTCCTGACTGTTTCTTTTGCAGTACAGAAACTTCTCAATTTGATGCAATCCCAATAGTTGATTTTGGCTTTGACTGTCTGTGCCTCCCGGGTCTTTTCCAGAAATTCTTTGCCTGTGCCAATATCTTCAAGGGTTTCTCCAATGTTCTCTAATAACTTAATGGTGTCAGGACATAGATTTAGGTCTTTAATCCACGTTGAGTGGATTTTTGTGTAAGGTGTAAGGTAGGGGTCTTGCTTCATGCTTCTGCACATGGAAATCCAGTTTTCCCAGCACCATTTATTGAATAGCCTGTCCTTGCTCCAGGAATTAGTTTTAGATCCTTGATCAAATATAAGTTGGCTGTAGATGTTTGGATTGATTTCTGGTGTTTCAGTTCTGTTCCATTGGTCTATCCATCTGTTTCTGTACCAGTACCATGCTGTTTTGATTACAACTGCCCTGTAGTATGTCCTGAAGTCTGGTATTGTGATGCCTCCGGCTTTGTTTTTGTTGTACAAGATTGCTTTAGCTATTCGAGGTCTCTTGTGCCTCCATATGAATTTCAGCATCATTTTTTCTAGATCTGAGAAGAATGTCTTTGGTATCTTGATTGGGATTGCATTGAATCTATAAATTGCTTTTGGGAGAATGGACATTTTGATGATGTTGATTCTTCCAATCCATGAGCATGGAAGATTTTTCCATTTTTTGGTATCCTCTTCTATTTCTTTCTTTAAGGTTTTGTAATTTTCATCGTAGAGATCTTTAACGTCCTTGGTTAAGTTTATTACAAGGTATTTGATTGTTTTTGTAGCTATTGTGAATGGGATTGATCTTAGAAGTTCTTCCTCAGCCATGGCATTGCTTGTGTATACAAAGGCTGTTGATTTTTGTGCATTGATTTTATATCCTGCCACTTTGCCAAACTCCTCTATGAGTTCCAATAGTCTCTTAGTAGAGTTCTTTGGATCCTCTAAGTACAGAATCATATCGTCTGCAAAGAGGGATAGTTTGACTTCTTCCTTCTTGATATGTACTCCTTTGATTTCTTTTTCTTTTCTGATGGCTCTGGCTAAAACTTCCAGAACTATGTTAAATAGCAGTGGTGAGAGTGGGCATCCCTGCCTGGTGCCAGATTTCAGTGGAAATGCTTCCAACTTTTCCCCATTCAATAGGATGCTGGCTGGTTGGGTTTTTTATAAATTGCTTTGATTATATTGAGGAATGTTCCTTCTATACCCAATTTCGCGTAGTGAGAGTTTTCATCATGAAAGGGTGTTGAATTTTATCAAATGCTTTCTCTGCATCAATTGAGATAATCATATGGTTTTTCTTCTGCAGTCTGTTAATGTGGTGAATCACATTGATTGATTTGCGAATGTTGAACCATCCCTGCATACCAGGGATGAATCCCACTTGGTCTGGGTGGATGATTTTCCTGATGTGTTGTTGTATTCTATTGGCCAGAATTTTATTGAGGATTTTTGCGTCTATGTTCATCAGGGATATTGGTCTGTAATTCTCTTTCAGTGCTGCATCTTTTTCCGGCTTAGGAATTAAGGTGATGCTGGCTTCATAGAAAGAATTTGGGAGGACTCCCTCTTTTTCGATTGTTCTGAATAGTTTGAGAAGAATTGGAGTTAGTTCTTCTTTAAATGTCTGGTAGAATTCAGCAGTGAATCCATCTGGTCCTGGGCTTTTCTTTGTTGGGAGGGCCTTTATTACTGTTTCAATTTCTGTTTCAGTTATGGGTCTATTTAGGTTTTCTATGCCTTCATGGTTCAATTTTGGTAGATTGCATGTGTCCAGGAATCTATCCATTTCTGATAGGTTTTCCTGTTTGCTGGCATACAGGTCCTTGTAGTAATTTCTGATGATTCTTTTTATTTCTGTGGTGTCTGTTGTTACGTTTCCTTTTTCATCTCTGATTTTATTGATTTGTGTCTTTTCTCTTCTTTTTTTAGTTAGTTGGGCCAATGGGGTGTCAATTTTGTTTATTTTTTCAAAAAACCAGCTTCTCGCTTGGCTGATTTTTTGTAATGTTTTTTTGGATTCAATCCTGTTAATTTCTTCTCTGATTTTAATTATTTCTCTTCTCCTACTAGATTTGGGTTTGGTTTGCTGCAGTTTTTCTAGGTCCTAGAGGTGCGCTGAAAGCTCATTTATTTGGTACCTTTCCAATTTCTTGGTATAGGCACCTATTGCTATAAATTTGCCTCTCAATACTGCTTTTGCTGTATCCCATAAGTTTTGATATGTTGTGTTGTTGTCTTCATTTACTTCCAGAAAGTTTTTGATTTCTCTTTTGATTTCTTGAATGACCCAGTGTTCATTCAGGAGCATGTTGTTCAGTCTCCATGTGTTTGCATACTTTCTGGGGTTTCCTGAGTTGCTAATTTCCAGCTTCATTCTGCTGTGGTCTGAGAAGCTGCATGGTATGATTCTAATTCTTTTAAATTTGCTGAGACTTGCTTTATGGCCTAGTATGTGATCATTCCTAGAGAAGGTTCCATGCGCTGCTGAGAAGATTGTGAAGTCTGTAGATGTAGGGTTGAAAGTTCTGTAGATATCTGTTAGATCCATTTGGGCAATAGTGTCAATTAAATCTGCTGTTTCCTTGTTGATCTTCTGTCCGGATGATCTGTCTATTTCTGAGAGTGGAGTATTGAAGTCCCCCAGTACTATTGTATTGGAATCTAAATCTCCCTATAAGTCCCTTAACATATCTTTTAAATAGACCGGTGCCCTTTAATTAGGTGCATATACATTTATAATAGTTACATCTTCCTGTTGAATTGAACCCTTAATCATTATATAGTGTCCTCTTTGTCTCTCTTAACAGTTTTTGTATTAAAGTTTATTTTGTCTGATATTAATATGGCTACACCTGCTTTTTTTTGGTTTCTGTTGGCATGGAATATCTTTTTCCAACCTTTCACTTTCAGTCTGCATGCCTCTTTGTTAGAGAGATGTGTTTCTTGTAGGTAACAAATAGTTGGGTTGTGTTCTGTGAGCCAGTCAGCCAAACGGTGTCTTTTAACTGAAGAATTCAGACCATTAATGTTCAATGTGTCTATTGATACGTAGTGACTTTGCCCTGCCATTTTCCCGGAAATATTTTCTAGTATATGCTTTGAGCTTCCCATGCTCTTTTACTGGTAGGTGTTCTTCCTTTCCCTTCTTTCATATTGATGGCCGTGTTTCTGTGTTTCTGAGTGTAGCACATCTTTAAGTATCTTTTGCAGGCCGGACGAGTGGCCACAAAGTCTTTCAATTTCTGTTTGCTATGAAAGGTCTTTATTTCACCTTCATTCACAAATGAGAGCTTGGCAGGATATAATATTCTGGGCTGGCAATTTTTTCTCTCTTAGTACCTGTGCTATGTCTCGCCATTCCCTCCTAGGTTGTAGGGTTTCTGATGAGAAGCCAGCTGTGAGTCTGATTGGAGATCCTCTGAGAGAAATCTGACGTTTCTCTCTTGCACATTTTAGGATCTTTTTCTTTATGTTTTCACTGGGGGAAGTTTAATTACCTCGGGGGGGGGGGGGAGGATCTCTTTTGGTCAGGTTTATTGGGGGTTCTATGAAGCTTCCCTGTACTAGAATATCTCTGTTCTTCTCCAAACCTAGAAAAGTTCTCTGCTAGTATCTCAAAAAAAAGGCCT